TGAGCTATGACTGAAAGGTAATTTACAGCAAGTCTATGTAAGAAAAAAAAAAAAACACAGCCAACGCATTATCAATTAGAGTCCTGCTGGGCAATATTAACACAGATTCCACTTAAAAGAGACAATCAAAAGCTCAGCAACAAATAGGAATACATTTATACTCTTCAAGGAGCCAAAGAAAATGCAAGAACACCTTCCCTAGGAAGACTTCCTACCCTCACATAGTATTTTATCTCTGCTCTTAATCAAACCAGGCGGATAGAATTTCAGACATGAGCAAGGTTCACCCACAATTCAAAGGGATGGCGGAAGCCATGTTCCCTATCTTAAACAAAGCAGAATACGGTAGAATCAAATCAACGCTATGTAGTTCTACCTGCAGCATCTCTCGCTCTTTCTGTGGGGGAAGGGGAAGAGAAGGAGTGTGATGGGACCGCAGGGTCAGATTCTGCTAGGAGTCAGAGCTGTGAGGGCTTTAATGAGGGTGTTTGCACAGAGCACAGTGCGGGAGAGGACAAAAGGTGAGCAGGAGCAAAGCAGAAGAGGAAGCAAAGCCCAAGAGTGACAGGCTAATGGCTTCCAGGGTAAGAAGTTGTCCAAAGGAAGAAGAAAAAAGCAGCTCAGCAATGTTTGTCCCTAAATGCAGTCACTTAAAACTGTAACCGAATACCCAACTGACCCGAGTGTGAGAGGCTGAAATCGAGCCAGGCTGAGAAACTGGCCTAGAAAAGGGCAGGGTGAGTCCATGTAGACAGACTTCGGCCCTGGCCACCCTACCCCAGCCCGACTTGAAGAGTTTCCACAGCCCTTGGCGCGTCTGTCCAGGGCTGCCTCAGCAGCTGCTCTCCTGGCAGTGCAGGGAGACAAATCCATGGCATTGCTGGGCCAACAGCTGCTACAGCTCTGGGGGAGGTGACGAGTGCCCGCTGAGATGCTCTGGGCAGAGAATGAACTATTCTAGGGATCAGCCCGAGAGTCAGCAAAATCGAGGCTACACTCCACCGGCGAAATGAAAATACAGTACAACTGCCACTCCAGAGACCCAGGAAACCCACAGCCCTTCTTCTGTCCCAGCTTCTCTCACTCAGAGTGCTTCTTGCCCTCACGTTTCTATTTCTGAGGGCACGACTTCGGGTCAGGCCCATGTTAACCTTAGGCTCACTGCCATACCTTCTTAACAGGCCTCCTGCTTCCCCGTCTCTCTCCTCCAATTGATCTTCTGCAGTGTTGCCATAGTTACCTTCCCAAAGCACGGCCATAATTAGGTTCCTTGCTCAAAAACTATCAATGGCTCCCCACACTTACAGAATAAACCCTGTCGCCTGGCACTCCCGGACCACTATGATCAGGCCCCTACCAACTTTTCCAGGCTTATTTCACGATTGCATTTATTATTCCTGTTCTGCAGCAAAACAGATGAGTTACCCACCAGCCTTGTTTTTTCAACTGTTCCTTCTACCTAATATGCTTCCTTCCTCCATCTTTCTATCTTCCTTCTATAACTTCTGTGTTGTCTCAGTTGAATTCAGCTCATAGGACCAGTACCTAGCACTTGCACTTGTATTGTCCCATTTCCCAACCACTGAACTTCACCTTTGTGAAGGCCCACCCGGTCTGCAACCTGAAGAGATGTCTACTCTCTATGCACTGTAGCACTTTGTAGGGATGGGTGGACATGGTCTTTCATAGACAATATGGCAAGGCTGCGAACAGTACCCCCCCCAATGTTTCCTCTTCTCCTATATGAACAGAAACTGTACCTTCTGGTCTCCCCACACAAGAACCCAGAGGGCTCACTACCATGCTATCACATCAAACCTGAACTCCTCTGCCTGACTACCCAAGAGCCATTATTTGGGGTCTACTCCCCTTATCTAACCTTATTTTCCACTGCTTTTGAAATGATCTGTATTCTCATGATATTTTGCTCAGACCTCCACTGAAGCCCGTTTCACGTTACGTTGTTCCCACGTCTCTCTTCCCTGTTAGCCAGGATTCCAGAGTGTACCTTAGCCTCCAGAGGAATCAGCACAGAGCACAGCACCCACTAGGTACTTAAAAGGGGTTTGGTGGGTAAGCAGACTGTCACTCAGGATAAGATCAGACAGGAAGCTATTAAAGCAAACTAGCTATCAAGTGACAGCAAAAGGAGTGGAGAAGTTCCCCTCTTAGAAGCCCTTAGAGCTCCTTGTACTTCTGTTCCGCAACACTTAGCTCAACTCATCTAATTGTGTGATTTGTTTAACGTCCGTTTCCTCATCCTGTGTAAGTGCCCTGCGCTAAAGGCAGCGCTTGATCATGGCCATATCCCAAGGCACCATGTCTGGCCTGAAGGAGTTCAAGGAACGTGCACTGGACATTTGTTGAAGGAATGGAAAAGAAACGTCCTTTTAATGAAGCTGGATCCCTCCCTCGTCCCTGTACCCCCTCAGCAGCCAACACTCCTGCTTCCTCTTGCAGGCACGTGCCATCCTCTGCTACACAAACCTACCTCTAAAGCCTCGCCTACCTTTAAAGTCCCACTTGCTTCATGAAAACTCTCCTGACTGTTCCAGACCCTTTATCTATCTCTGATGATTTATCTCTGATCTCCCATCACATCTATATTCTACACAAAACCAATGATTTCTTAATGAGATTATTATTGCTTTGCTCTCTAGTTGCTTCTGGTATTAAAAATCTTTTCTCCCCAGCCAGATATGGCCCCCTGTAGAGACACACGATTAACTTCTCTTGTATCTTCCAATGCCTGTACAATACAGAGTACACAGATGGCTCTTAATAAATACTCACTGGTTGTTTGGGAGATGAAGCCAGGTACCAGCTTTATGAGAAGGGAAATCAATTCTTCCAAAACACCCTATTCCTTGTATGTGATCTTCATCAGAGCAATTCAGCTGACTTAGAGATGAGCACATCTGTACTTTAATTTATAGTAAATATGTCTTTAAGCTGAAAATATGATAGTACTAAAAATCAAATGCTATTTTAAACTTAGGAGCAGCTTACCAACAGAATAAATCCAACTTTGAGTCATTTTTCTAAAGCAAATGATTTCTCTCCCAAATCTTCATTTATCATACACTAAAATAACATTTTATTCTCTCAGGATTGCTTATTATAAAGAGAACAGGACTTGGGAAAGATAAGGAGCTCTGAGGACAAAACATCTGGAGGAAATTCTCATTCTGGCTTATACTGAGAGTGTCATCTGTTCTCCTCAAACTTAGCCTCCATATTCACTGCTCAAAGCTGGTTTGTAAAGGATAATTTGTGTCCCAAATTATTAGAGTGATAAACAAAAATAGAAAATGGGGGAAAACAAGATATACTTGGCATTAGTTCCTACATTCATTCATTCATTTACTCATCCAATAATGTTTAGTGAGCATCTATTATATGCCACATATTATACTAGGCACTGTGGGAGGCTGAAAAATGAATCAGAAAAGCTTACACTGTCCACTAAGGGAAGAAAATGAAAGGCAGACAGTATTGAATGCCCTAATAAAAGAACAAATAAAATACTGTAAGAATTCAGAAAAGGGAGAACATTCTTCCCTCCGGGAGAATCAAGAAATTTTCCTGGAACATGATGCATCTGAGATGGGTCTCAAAACATAGGTATGTCTTTGACATGCAGAGATGTGAAGAACGGGAACCTAAGTTCAAATAACAGGATGGGCAAAGGCCCATTCAAGTTAATCTATTTGGCTAAGGTACAGTAGAGGGGAAAAAAAACAAACAAACAGGAAATAAGGTTAGAAAACTAGTCAGGGCCAGATGTACAGGGGCTTGTACATGTATATCTTTGTGAATAGAGCAGAACTTCTCAAACTTTAAAGTGCATACCAATCACCTGAGTCTCTTGTCAGGGTGGATCTGGGGATGAGACCGGAGATTCTGCATTTTCAACATCCTAGGTGATGCCAATATTGGGAGACCACACTTTGAGCATCAAGAACATAGACAGTGGGAAGCCATTGCACAGAGAACCCACCTGATCTCCAATGTGTTCCAGGAAGGCTAAATCTGGTAAGAGTGGATTGGGCAGACTGGAATGGGGAGAAGCCATTTCTGGACCCCAACACTGGTTGTTCGTTAGAATCATCTGGAAAGCTTTTACACCGTACTGTTACCCAGGCCCCACTCCCAGAGATTCTGACTTAATTGCTCTGGAATGGGGCCCAGATTTCAGGATTTTTAAAAAGTTCTCCAGAGAATTCTAATGTGAAGCCAGAGTTGAGAACCTCTGCTGTGGATGATACAGTGAGTAATGTGATCATTCAGACAAGGATGATGATCTAAACTAGGGCAATGGCAGTGAGGACAGAGTGAAAGGGCCACTTGCATAAAATGCTACACAAGGAACAGACCATGTGAGTAGTGAGTCAGATGTACGGTGACAGCATCACTCATTTCTTCCAGTTAAAGAGAGTTTGGTCAATTGGTTAAGAACACAGACTCTGGAGCCACACTGCCTGGGTTTGATTCCCAGCTCTGCTATTGATTTACTAGAGGTGTGTGTGTGTGTGTGTGTGTGTGTGTGTGTGTGTGTGAGAGAGAGAGAGAGAGGGAGAGAGAGAGAAAGAGAGAGAGAGATCTTAGGCAATTTCTTTTAATTTCTTTAGGATGCAGTTTCCTCATCTGTAAATTGAGGATACAACAATGACCAACATACAAACTCGTGGAGATTAAATGAGTTCTCATATATGTAAAACCCTTAGAACCATGTTTAGCACACAGGAAGTGCTCTGAAAGTGTTTGTTGTTATTATTAGCACGGTCCACCATCTCTTCGGACCCCTCCAGGATCCTGACCTGCATACAGGACCCATCTGGAAAAGGAGAAGTCCTTGAGGGCTCTCAACCCTCAGCCAATTTGAAGTCCCTGGGGCACTTTTCATGAATGCGCATGGATCTAGGTGGCACACCCCGCCTTACCCCTCTCCCCGGGCCCATTCCCAAGGTCCCTGCGAGAAACAGCCACAGGGTCCCTACTTGAACTGCTGGTCCTTGGTGCTGCGCGTCTTGGCCAGGAAGCGCTCGGCCAGCTTCTCCAGGTTGCGGGAGTAGTCCATCTCGATCTCCGCCTTCTTCCGGAAGAAGTCCTGCAGGTCCTGCAGCAGCTGCACCCGGAGCTCACACTGCTGGTCCAAGCATTTCATCTGCTCTGTGAGCTGGGCACGGATTTCTGCAAAAGAAACAAAGACCGTCAGATGGGGGGGGTCCCTAAAAACAAAACAGAACAAAACAAAAACATACGTACCCACATTTACCCCTTCCACTTAGGAACTTAAAGCCTTTAATTAAAAAAAAAAAACAAAAAAACACTCAAGCTTAAAATGGCCATATGATATGAGGCATCTCCAAAAATTCCACCAACTCTTTTGGGCCTACTAAGAAACTGGAACCAAGAATCTGCTGAATCATTTCCAAACCTGGGGGAAAGAGCACCTATGTTATTATGCCTTTCCTTATGTGTGCTCCAAATTCATTCCCAAATCGTAGAGTCATAACGATGCTCTCTGTCTATGCTATGTAATGCATGGGGGCAGGGGGTGGTAGGGAAATCTAGACTTTTCATCTGAGCTGTGGATAAGTCAGGGCAAATCCAGGATCAGAGCTATGATGTTGAAAGTTTTGCCAACCACTCTTATGAAGCAATGACGATGGGCAAATGGTGCATTTAGCTTTGCCTTGAAGTAGCTAGGCGTCCATAATCTACCCTTATCTTCATTTTTGCCTCTGTTTTCACCCATATCAGAATGTAGCACAAGTATCTGGTCCTTTACGGGTCATCTCGAGGGATCTGTAAGTACAGTTCTCACCCTCTTCGTCCCCATGCCTCCCCCTTGCCAACCATCAATGCCAGTCAGGCCTACAGTCACCTCACCTGAACTGAAACTGGGCCCCGGAGGATTGTTTCAAGCAGACAGAAGGCTGAGCAGAAAAGCCGCCTACCTCATCACTCATCAAAGCTCCCTTGTTCTGTGTTTTTTGGGAGTCTGATTACAAGGGTGTTGGGGGAAGATGTGCTGAGGGCAATGTCAGGCATCTAGCTCTTGCCAGAGATTTCTGAGCCTCTTAAAGGCAACAGCCCTTGTCAAGACTGTTCCTAGAGGCATCTATCCCCCTTCCACCTATTGGTAGATAGAAGTAGAAGTGGGCAGTAGTAGCCACTGGGTGGGCGGACTGTGGGTGGAGAGCGCATTCACAATGCTCATTGATATTACTTACAACTTGCCCATTAAGGAAGAATCAGGGCATCTTAGGGCAAAAAGGCTCTCCAGTCAGTTCCAGATTTGCAAGAGGATGTGGGTGGGTAATGGGGCTGTCCGCCCACTCGGAGTCACCTATAACTCACATAAGACTTTGCGCCTCAATAATCTCACTAACCAGGAGAGCAGAAGGGAGCACGGTAGAATACATTATGCCCACCCTCCACCAAAAAAAGAGGGGTCTAGGCAAACTCCCATGATCAGAGGTAGGCCACTCCAGGGTTACCCTGGCCAAGGAATTAGCACTTCCTAGGTGGCCTCTGAAATATGTGAACTAATCTAAGAAGACCCTAAGCATATACGTACCCACATTTACCCCCATTTACCCCTTCCACTTAGTCAGGAACTTAAAGCCAACACAGACCCGCACCCTGACTTTCCCAGGTGCCTCAAGTGGGTAATACAAAGTGCACCCCACTCTCAGGCATCCCCTGAGGAACCCTGAGGGAAAGGGTTACTGAACACCCTTCACGGGGCTTTATATGCATCATCTCATCTCCACAATTAGCCCATCAGCTATGCCCAATTATCCTGATGACACAGGTAAGAAAAATGAAATAAGACCTGTTAAGTCATTTACCAAAGGGTCATACAACTAGGTGCAAGTGAGGCTGAAGCTAGATGAAGGTTTGTCTAACTTGCCGAAGAGGTTGACTCGGCCAGGGAAACAAGAGAAACAGAACACAAGTCTGGAGTCTCTGAAAGTATTTCTGGGTAAATTACAGTGTCTATGGCTCCCACCCATGGAACATCCCCTCCTCCACCTTCTAGCTGAGAAGTGATTCAGAATCAAGTTTGGACTAGCCTGCTGACTCGATAACTAGCCCATGTATCGACTAGCTCACAACTGGGCTGGGTCCCCTCCCTGCTTCCTCAATCTACTCTACTCTACAGGGCAGCTTTGGAGGAAGTGTTTTTTCTTGTCCCAGGAGCACACCCTGAGGTCTGCCAGTATGCCCAGAGGGCAGAGAAAGTGAAAAAGCAATGATACCCCTACCTGATCCAGGAAAAGAAGAGTCTCTGCTAATAGATACCACCTGCTACTGTGGTTGATTTGTCATCCCCTCCGCTGAGCATCTCCCCTCCCTGGCAACCTGCCTAGAAGGAGAAGCCTCCCTGGCTCCTATCCTCAGGGCATCCACGCAGACATGTAAGGGAGACTCCAACCACCCCCATCTCTAGGCTTGCAGCTCCAAGACAGAATGGCTGTTCTGTCCAGCACAAAATGTGCTGCTTCAGACTTTTGCTGTTGCTGCTGCAAAGACAAACAATGGTCCCCAAGAAGGCCGCTGTGCCAGCCCCCGTCCTCTGTCCATGCACATAAGGGGCAGGAAACAATAGGCCACTGAACTCCAGCTCTCGTGGGCCATGTGCCCAGGCTGGAGGCCCTTCTGCACCCTGGCCTACCAATAAACCATTAGGGGCAGAAAGAAGAAAGGGGCAATTTATAAAAACATGAAGGAATTCCTCACAATTCCATCGTGTGCTTAGGCGAGTATGCACATGCACGCGGGTGTACACCCAAAGACACACACTCACCCCACCCACGCTGTGCTTCACCATATCAACTCAAGAAGGCTTTAGAGATCCAGTTTGCAGCTGGATGAGCATCCCTGGGAACTGGAGATGATGGGGTCCTTATAGGTTCAGTCCCTAGAACTACACAGGAAGAAGTCAAGCTCTCATTTTCTAGAAGCGGCTGTACCTCAGGGGTGCAAATGAATGCCATGGCCATCCACAAAGCCAAAGTACAAAGGTCACCATGAGCTTTGAGTGATATATGCCAAAACGACCTCCCCTGGGCACCTACCACAGCCCATTAATTCACCAAATCTTTACTGAGCTCCTACTGTATGGCAGAGCCTGAGCTAGGTGATGGTGGGGATGAACGAAACAGGTCCAGGCCCTGCCCTAATAAGCCTGGCTTGACAAAAAAGAGACAGGAAAAGAAAGCAAAGGCAGTCTTATTGCTCTTGCTTTGAATACTCTTTATTATAACATAGCCACGGGATTAAGTCCCAACCCAAAGACCAACGACTAAAAAATCATCAGTGGCAGACAAAAGAAACCAAATAACAAGCCTAAGAAAAATTCAACATCCTCTGGCTCTTTTTTCTATTACTTTTTTTTTTTTAAATGACATTTCTGTAGCTTCCTTTGCCAAAAGAACCAAAGTTTTAGAACTAGTTTTCTGAAAATCAGAATTGACCTTTGGTTGATACTTCATTCAAAGATTCAAGTCAAAATTTAATCCCACTGCTGTGGAATTAGATCGTGGTGATAGTTGTACAACCTTGTGCACATACTGAAAAACAACCCCACTGAATTTGTGTACTTTTTTTTTTTTTAAGATTTTATTTATTCATTTGAAGAGAGAGAGAGCATGAGAGGGGGTTGGGTCAGAGGGAGAAGCAGACTCCCTGCTGAGCAGGGAACCCGATGTGGGACTTGATCCCGGGACTCCAGGATCATGACCTGAGCCGAAGGCAGTCGCTTAACCAACTCAGCCACCCAGGCGCCCTGAATTCGTGTACTTTTAAAAGGGTGAATTTTGTGGTATGTGAACTACATCTCATTTAAAAAATTTAACACCACCAAAAATCATGTTCTTTTGAGCACCATCCGGCCAGCTAAGGGGAAAATGGCCCAACAAACTGGCACCAAAAAGAGGAAGGAATTCTTGGTTTCCATTTCTCCATTTGCATGGGCTGAATCTCAGTTCTGCATTGAATATTCTTAAAGCATGTACCAGAAGCTGCCCCTCTGGATGGCAAGCTTGGCCATGACATTGAACTCCACTGGCAGATCATCGTTCCATCATTTCCGATGGGTGTCAGATCAAAACCAGCAAGGAACGCTTGTATGCATGAGTTCAAATATAGGATCGGCAGACATATCCATCAAAGCTTCCCTTGGGAAGTGCTGACGCCTTGTCCAGGCTTGGCCACAGCTGAGATCCTAACTACACCTGTCCTGGGAGCTAGAAGAAGGCTCATTTCCATTTTGGAAAGAGGGTGAAGGGTCACAAGAAGGATGAAATTAGAAGAAAAACTAGCCCTAATAGGATACTGATCATTTAACAAAAACGGGGCCCTGCCACACTTACAATCATGTAGACTCTAAATTATATAACATCTGCCAACACAGGCAACACAGTCTTCTGAAAACTGTCCTCACTTCAGAGAACACCCAGGGAATGCACAAGTCAGCAGAATATAGGAGGATTTTGTTCAGTCTGTTGCTTTCAATCTAGAGATATTAGTCCCTTTCTTCCCTTCTTTCAAAATTCCTTCTTCAGGAATTTTCTCATTAAGGCCCCCTCCTATGAGTCCCACATTTCTGAGAAGAAAATGAGGGTGGGAGGGCAGGCCTCAGAAAAATGTAATCTTACAGGAGAGTAACACAGGCACACCCTTCCCTTCTCCTTGATGATCTGGCACCTAAGGGATAGGAGCTGCGACTCCCACAGGTTCTGTTCAGAACACAGGGCATGAGATCAGCCCATGTCCCCAATTGGAACTGGGACTGACTGTCAGCCTTTTTCCACAAAATCTGCTTCACCTGCTTTTAGCCCTTTCACAAACACATGATGTCACCTCAGCCACCTCAGGAATATTAATTCCTGGTACCTTTCCAGCAAGTGTTATATAAGAAGACAACTGAAGCTTTCATCAGGCTTGGTAGTACTCCGTATCTCTTACCAAGACCTCTTATCTCAAGGGTAATCAGCCCCTATCAAAACTGTTCCCCGGGAAACAGAATGCTGGGATGCCCTGCCAAGTCCTGCTCTTCACCCTACTGGTTTGCTTTTCTACAAATTCAGTAATGGGAGGGCCCTTAAAAATCCTTGTTGGACAGATGACAGAACCAAAGCCCAGAGAAGGGAAAGGAATTGCCAGAGATCACATAGCTA